TTGACTCTTGCAAAAAACGGGCGCCAAAGCATAAATAGCTTTAAAGTAATGGTGAATTAGGCAGAGGCTCTTGAAAACTGTGTTCGGCCACCTTAAGATAGTAAGCAAAACAATCTTTATTATTTCATTAAGAAAAATAACATAGACGCCCCATGCAAAAGAAAACCGCTGCACGGCACGTTGGCTCTTGCATGGTTACATTTGTCACGAAATGTTTAATTTGCTTTTTTGATCGAAAAACGCGTTTCACGCCGAGAAGCGGAATTGATTGTTATTGCAATTTTAAAATAACAAAAATTTCGATTTCTCATTTTAGTGAGGAAAATTCATATTTTGGCGAAAAAACGTTTCCCCGTGTTTTCCACTTAGACCCCGTGTTTTCCACCAGATTCCGTGTTTTCCACCAGACCCTGTGTTTTCCACACCCCGCGTTTTCCAAACCCCGTGTTTTCCACACCCCGGGACCCCGTACCCCGGGACCCCGGCCCCGCGTTATCCACCTAGCCAACAGAAAAGTATATATTTTCCTCTCGATTATCCTTATGAAGACCACGACAATTCGATATGACTTGATCTGACCCGATCTGACCCTAAATAAAAATTGATTAATGTGCCTGTTTGCTTATTTTCGAAAAGTGTGTACTATATGTTAATTGTTACTCAACTCACTGTGATGTATTTAAAAAAATGAAAAACATGTACCGTGTTTCTATCGAGTTTTAGTATAAATCTACTAGCGTTCTATCACGAATGCCGTTCTCTGATTGGCTATGCTATCCACTATCTATTCTGTGATAGATAGTGAGTAGCGTAGCAGTGTGCGCTTGTTAAAGGAGAAGGTCACTCCAAAAACGTATCTTTCTTGTCAACGCTAATAAAAGCCTTGCACTAAGTTCAGTCACTCACCGAAGTTAGTGCAGGTTTTCCCTATGAAATTAGTCTCCAAAGAAGCCCAAAATTCTAACATCGTTGTCGCCATTTTGAACAATACTCAGCAGCCAGGCCGCGTTTTTGTGACGTCATTCCGTCCGAGACATTTTGTGGGATATAATTCATGGTAGGCCACCTATATAGTCTCCCTGCAGTTTGCTTCTATTTACAGCCGTTTGCTTGCGGTTAGCATTTTTAAATAAAAATTGTGTTTGCTTGCGGTTGGCATTTACTTGCTACTGTTTGCCTGCGGTTAACATTTAATTACTGCTGTTTGCATGCGGTTAGCATTTAAGGAGGGCTACCATGAATTATATGCCCATTTTGTCCACATGGCTTCCGAAGAGCCTTTTAACTACCACTCTGGGTTATGGCTGCTCTTGAGCCATACTATTTTGAGCCAAACATGCTCAGCTATGCTCCAAACTCCGAAATGACAGCATTGAAGATAGTGAAGTAGATAATCGCTTGGAAAAAATAGATTTTGCTGACGTTGTGAAGGATGCCAAGTAAGTTGGAGGTTTTTCTCCTTCCCGCCAATTTCGAGTCCGACGGAATGATGTCACATAAACACGGCCTGACTGCCAAGACAGTTTCAAAATGGCGGCCTCCAAGTCGTTTCTTTCATGACGAATTTCTTCAGGATGGCGGGCACTTCAGAGGCTGAAACTTCGGTGAGTGGAAAAGATGAATGTCTACTTGCTATACGCGAAGACAAAAGAGTATGCTTTTTTAGTGACTTTCTCCTTTAACAAAATAACGGCCGCTTCTTGGCGTTTTCGAAGTGTCTGTGAAGAGGATTTAGATAAAGTTTTGAACGACTGGTAGATTTATACTAAAACAATTAGACTATACGTTCTCGATTTCTATGCGTGATAGTTGACTCGGGCTGCGCCCTCGTCAACTATCAGTCGATAGAAATCTCGAATTCATAATCTAATAGCTTAATAGAAACACGATTATTAACCAATCAGCGCGCGTATTTTCTTAGGACTGCTTTCTACTTGATTACGTTGTAGAATTACGCCATAAGATTTAGGAATATGATATAATTGTATGGGATGAGCAGGGAAATAATAACAACTAACTGCCTCATTTATCTTTGGATCACCAACCTATTCCCTTCGGAAGGGGATTCACAGTAATTTCTGACAAATATTTAATATTAAATATTATATTGCTATTTCTTATATATATATATTGCCATTTGAGCAAAACACAACATTTCCAATACGTTTGTTATGTTGTGAGGTGACTCCCTGCTCGTCCGAAAAGTTTCTCAACGTGCTCGAAGAAAAATCGGCCGCTTCAACGCAGATTGGATCGGTGAACAAGGGAGAAAATGTTTCGATAAAAAAAACAGTCACTTTAAAGGCTCCCGCCATTGGGGAGCAATGATGGCGCAGTGGTGAGAGCGTTCGCCTCCCACTAATGTGGCCAGGGCCGGTGCCATATGTGGGTTGAGTTTGTTGTTGGTTCTCAATTGACCGCAAAATTAGCAGTCTACTGGTCAGCAGATTATCCCACTGGTCAGCGAATTCAAGCAGTCAGGGGAGTCAAGTTCAAGAATTGGTGCAGTATACATGTGATTTTATCCCTAACTTATTCTCTTCGTTTGTTTTCGTTTTTTTTTTAAGTAGAAAGAGAAGGTAACAAATTAGAGATTAAAACGTATGCCCAATGCACTAATTCTTGAAACCCGGATTTGGCTTATAGAAAATGTGGACCTCGTATTTCCAATACTGAAGCAATCGAGGAGCAAACGTATATATGGTGCTAGTAGAAAGCAATTCGGTCGACCCCAATCTTTGACCCGGTTTTCTCAGACTACAACGAATTTGAAAGTGCTGCGGTTGCGAGTTCGCCGATACTAGTAGTAGTTTAGTGCCTACTCGACCGTGGACAATAGGTAGGCGTTTTTCAGAATCGTTGGGTCCTCTCCCTACACCCTGTCCCTCTTTTTATTTTTTGCTCTCGCACAAATTTTCGCCAAACCAGAATGCGAAAAACGCTTTTCGGTTTTACGGGAAATCCTCATACGTAGCAAAATTTAATGCAAAGTTTTACCTAGGAAGAGGAATGAACCGATAGGTAGACGGACCTTTATATGATTTACCTTTAGTATGAACTCTTCAGGTGCATCGCGAAAGACCTTCAAGTATTCTGGACTCAACCCGTTCTGATAATCATATGGCATGATTCGCAGTTCTTTGTAAGTTGAATTATAAATTTCCACCATCTGTTTGTAGAAAGAAGATACCATTATTCTACAAATCATTAGAATACAGCTGCTATATACCCGCTATTGGAGCTGAGCGCGCATTGTTTTTGTTATATAATACGTCAAGACGAAATCCGATAGGAAATCGAACAATTTCAGTTTTTAGTGGACAAAAACCTGGTACCAGAATAATTTTAGGTATTTCACAGTCCTTTTTACATTTTCTTACAGCTAAAGATATAAATAGTTGCCTGAAATGACACCAAAAACAATTTCCCGTGGGAACTCGGGAAGATAAATTTCAAAGTTCAGAGAAATCGTGCAAACACGAGTAAAATTTCATTTCACCAGTACTGATACGAAGTTCATTTGTTTTCGACATTTTTTTTAGAAGATATTTAAAACAGTCGCGCAGAAGTTTGCAATACAATGTAAATAAACTCGGTACAAAGTGTTTGTCAGGGGGAGGCGGGCGGTGGGGGGGGTGTCCACTTGTTACTCGAACTTCTGGTGGATTCCTTCTTTAAGACTTATTGGACTTACTTAACTTAAGACTTATTGGAGGACAGGCGTATAGATGACGCCATCAACACTTTTTTGACTTCTTTATTTTATAAAACATGTTGCCGTGCGTCTGTTCAGTAATAGATCACAGAAGACGTCAAAATGTGGTAAGAACATCAGTCACACACTCACCTTAGGGCTCGTGTGTCACGTTTTCTATTACTGAACAGACGCACGGCAACATGGAATCTATTTGTTAATAATTTTATGGCTAGCTCTGTGAGCGGGCAAGAAGAACAAAAGCCAGCGCTGTGAATGGCTAACCAAAAGGGAAGATGGCGCTGTCTTGCCCGCTGTTCTTTTTCCATATAAGAAACCCTTTATTGACCAAGCTTGTCAGGTCAAGATGCCTGGATAGTGGCCAAGTTCGGCCAATATCCAGTTATCTTGACCTCACGCTGGGTCAATAACTCATTTAGAGGACATGGAACACCATGTTCTATTTTGTAAATAACTCCCAGTCAATATTTTACAATCTCCTGAATATTAAACTAGTGTAAAATTTGTTCATTAACCCATCACACAAGGGATTTAAAAATAAAAGAAAATTATGCAAAGATGGTCAATGATATATTTATTCACGAAAACTAACACGTCAATTTAAAAAGAAATTACTATCCTGACTCACTTACTATTTGTAAATTGCTTCCGATCTCAAAGAAATATTGGAAAAAATAAAAAAATACGTTTGAATCCCCATCTCAGCCACCCTTAGGGGTAATGTAATGTTACATCTTGAAACTTTTTGCAGTTGTAATATCATCATGCAAGTTTGCATTCTTTAAAAGTAACTGTCTGGATCAAAGTTAATTTCGTTTTATTGTGATACAACTCAATGAAAAGCTTACTCCTCGAATGCCTCCAAATATACGGGCGTGTCGGACACATTCATCAGGGCCCTTGTCCAGAAATAATGCTGGGTAAACCTCACCATCTTGAATGTTAATACCTGTTATGGATAGAAATAGGAAAGCATAAGTAGACGGTCATTTTAATTTCAAGGTGGAATGGTACTCTGATTTTCGTCAAATTTGGTGAAATTGTGAAAATTGTTTTTAGTTAGTTTTCATACCTTGAATCATTGTTGATCATTACGAAAGATCCTTTTTAGTCGGGCGAAAGCCGACTATAGGTTTTCCCTCGTATTTCCTGTCAAAGCTCAGTCACGTGCAATGGGCAATACTGCAGACACGTAATAAAATAAAGGCTCAACCTTCTTTCCACGATATCGAAATCCAAAGGGAAAAATATGTTGGATATCAATGAGTTATCAATGAACAGAAAATGTGGACAGAGTGTTACTACAGACGACAGAAGAACATTTACGGACGTTTTAGGTGCTGATAAAGACAAGGTGCCTCGTAATCAAAATCTAAGAAACGACAACAAAGATGCCATGTTGGACTGAAACGCACCTGAAACCGCCTGAAGCACTCATACTGAGTGCAGCGACGAACAAAGCCGAGGCATGGCGGTGATGGAAGATGTTATGGGAGCTGTACAAAGTGGCACGTGGTCTCGATAAAAAGGATGAGAAAATTCAAGTCGCCACGTTGCTCCATGTGCTTGGAAAAGAATGCGTAGAGATTTACTCAAATTTTGCTTGGGAGAACGAGGGTGATCGCGACAAAATTGCGGTAGTGGAGGAGAAATTTATGGCTCATTGTGCGCCGTTGACATCGACGCATTTTAATCGTCATTTGTTCATCGACCGCAAACAGCAAGAGGGCGAGACAGTCGATGAGTTTTGCAGCGCTCTGAAAACACTGGCTAAGAATTGTGATCTNGATGGCTCTCAACTTCTTGATACTTTAATAAAATTCTCGGTAAACATCCTGTGATAAGCTGAACATAGTTCTCGTCTTCTAATAATTGGTTATTGAATTTCCACGTGCCTGGGCCGTGATGAAACGCGTCGTTGATTTCTACGCTCAAGTAAATGGCCTTGTGGTCAGGAGCAATTGAGGAGCGGATTTCAGCTGTTCTTATGTTTGACTTTAAAGACTGTGCAATTAGAAAAAAGTCAGTTCTAGATTTAAGCTTCAGAGATTTTGATTCATAAGTAAATGCCTTCTTTTTGGGGTGTAGGACTCGATAAACATCAACAAGACCTAATTCGTCCATAAAACTAAGAAGAGAATTCCTGTAACTTGTTTCTTGCCATTGTCGCCCTCCACGTTTATCTGTTGAATGAAGAGTGGTGTTCCAGTCACCAGTGATTATAGTTTTGGACGTGTTTGTTTTAGAGACAATACCTGTACATAAGTTTTGTGTAAACGAAGTTTGCTGTTGGGAATCACATGGAGCATAAACGGAAGCTAGAAAAAAATCTTTGTCACCTAGCTTGATTTTTCCGATAACCAATCTATCGTTTGGATCAATAGACAAACGCTCTAAAGAGAAAAAAGAGTTTGGCCTCTGCAATATGCAAGTACCTTTGGAATGCTTTGTGCCGTGTGAGAAAAGTATTTTCCCACCCCATTCTGAAGCCCAAGGGACTTCATCTTCCTTTAACGAAAAGGTTTCCTGAAGACAATAGAAATCTGCTTTTTGATTCTTGAGATACNACGCTCTAAAGAGAACAAAGAGTTTGGCCTCTGCAATATGCAAGTACCTTTGGAATGTTTTGTACCGTGTTAGAAAAGTATTTTCTCACCCCATTCTGAAGCACAAGGGACTTCATCTTCCTTTAACGAAAAGGTTTCCTGAAGACAATAGAAATCTGCTTTTTGATTCTTGAGATACAAAAACAATGCCCTTCGCTTGACGTGATTACGCATCCCCCTTACATTCAATGATAAGATTTAGACGAATTTCATAATATTCTACCGAATAAAACCTAACACCTATTCTTAATGCGTAATAGCTATGCTAACAAACAACAACAAAGGCTTGAGCCAGAGAAAAAAATAAGAAAAAAAAAAAAATAGAAAACGAAAATACGAAGACAGGCAAAAATACTAGTACAGTTTAGAAATATAAATGAGCTACGCTTAAGAGACTAACTTAGTTAGTAATCGCAAAAGTAACCAAGATGAACGAAAGAATTACGAAGTGAAGTTGCACAGTTCTTAAAAAAAAAAAAAAAACAAGACAAACACCGCACTCAGTAAACAACAACAACCAAAAAAGTGACTACGCTGGGAGGTTTGAAAGTATTTCTAATTTCCAAAAGAAAAAAGAAATTCTACTTCCAAACTTTCTGTAAAGGAAGGGAAGCAAAGCGAAAAAATGCTAGCCTCTCTTCCTCTTTCCCGTNAGTAAACAACAACAACAAAAAAAGTGACTACGCTGGGAGGTTTGAAAGTATTTCTAATTTCCGAAAGAAAAAAGAAATTCTACTTCCAAACTTTCTGTAAAGGAAGGGAAGCAAAGCGAAAAAGTGCTAGCCTCTCTTCCTCCTTCCCGTTCGATCTCATTTCCCTCAAAATATGCAAATTTCCACTTCGATACGATATTTACGGTTTTTGCAGGATCTCCGCAAAACGGTTAATTAGAAATTTTTAAGATCGTTTTCACTAAAGATCCTGGTGGGGAATCCATCAGGCGACGTTTTTACGAATATCTTACCGAATATCTTATCTTTCCCCACGAATATAACGATAGAACACTTTTTCTCCATCCGAAAGTAGCATCCTCCCATCTCCTCCATCATTCACAGCCATTTCGAAGTACTGAAAGGATGCCGGGTTGAGTCCGAAAGTAACAAGGGTCATAATCATTACTTTCGGAACTCCGAAAAAGTCTTAACTTATGAAAATAACCAATTTATTGCGATCTAGAATGAAAATGTGTGAGAAGACAGACGTTTTAAGCCCAGTTGTGTACCTTTTGTAAATCACTAGCTCTAAAGCCGCGGCCAAACGATCGCAACATTTCAACGCAACATATCACAACATTGTTGGGCGCAGCATGTTGCGGGCATTTGGCCACCCTGTTCCGACGTGTTGCGACATGTTGCGATGTGTTGGGTGTTGTTGGCTCAAATTTGAAAACGATCAAATTTTTCACGCAGCATTTGTGGATGTTGCATGATGTTCTACTTGTTTGGCCAAGTTCGTGCAACAATGTTGCACCCGGGCATGCGCACTAGTTCGATTTTCAATACCCAACGTGTCACTACATGTCATAACAGGGTGGCAAAATGTGCGCAACCTGTTGGGTCCAACAATGTTGCAATGTGTTGTGTTGAAATGTTGCGATCGTTTGGCCGGAGCTTGCAAATGCTGGGCCAACAATGTTGAGATATGCTGTGTTGAAATGTTGCAGTCGTTTGGCCAGAGCTTGCAAATGTTGGGCCAACAATGTTGGGATATGCTGTGTTGAAATGCTGCGATCGTTTGGCTGGAGCTTGCAAATGCTGGGCCAAAAATGTTGGGATATGTTGTGTTGAAATGCTGAAATCGTTTGGTTGGAGCTTGCAAATGCTGGGCCAACAATGTTGGGATATGCTATGTTGAAATGTTGCGATTGTTTGGTCGGAGCTTGCAAATGCTGGGCCAACAATGTTGGGATATGCTGTGTTGAAATGTTGCGATCGTTTGGCCGGGGCTTTAGTGGTCCTTAGTGAAGTTGGCATTCTCAATAAAGATTATTATCATTCATTGATTCATTCATTTATTCATTCATTCATGCATGCATGCATGCATGCACTCTCTTTCTCTCTCTCTCTCTTTCTCTTACACACTCACTCACTCACTCACTCACTCACTCACGCACGCACGCACGCATGCACGCACTCACGCACTCACTCACTCACTCACTCACTCAGCGAACGTTAACTAACTTCACGTGTTACAAATTACCCTTTATTCCTGACGAAGGCATAGGTAGTTGGGAAAGGGTTAACAGACTGAAGAGCAGTTCATTGTAAGCGAACATCACAAACATGACTGTTTTCAGACTATCGAACCACCTTGGTTTAGATGGCTTACATGTTCTGATTTACCTGTGACACAGGCTGAACATAAATGGATAGGCTCATTCTGATTCTGTATTGCTCCTGAAAAACAATACATTGTAAGAAATAAATTGCAAAAGCAACGTAAATAAATCTGGCCAAGAAATTGAAGTTTAATTACCAACCTTCATGTTCAAATGCTACATACCTAAGATGCATGTTGTCAATCTCTGAGAAGTTTGATTATCATCAATAAATCCTCCAAACAAGTGAAGCTCAAACCTGAGTAAATTTAATAAGAGAAGGCGTCATCAAAATGCATTCGAACAAACTCGTGAATGGAACAGATGAATGAAATGATGTATGAAATTTTCTCCATTATTTTCATACTTTGAGTATGTATATATGTATATACTTTGAGTATGAATGCGAGTGCAATTAAATATTTACACTACAAAGTGATATTTGAAAATTTTCTCAAAATTGTACGAGCCTTTTGGCGAGTGCAATTTGAAAGAATTTTCAAATATCACAAGTAGTGTAAATCCTTAATTGCTCGAGCCTTAATACGATTACTCATTTATTATATGACTGGATAGCACACGAAAGCACGCAAGTTAATTTGCACGTGCAGTGCAGATTAAAAATTAAGTAATTAAGTAATTTTCTCAGTTATATTATAAATAATGGTAATAGGACTGAGTGGAGGCCAGTTCGGTCGGTAATCATACGGGTGATTTGTTAATCACGAGTATGATGACAGACACAATTGAACGACACAATGTCCTGTTACCAATTAATCATAACCATTACACTTTCCCACAAAAGTAAAAGTCTTAAAAATATCGACGATAGCTTGCAAAAGTTGCCAAAGTTTCTTTCAAAACAGTCATCAGAGACTAAACCTCCACAATTTTTACAAAGTCAGTCGCTTGAATTGGTTACTATGAACACTTAATGACTGGCCCCAAGGGAAACAGTGAGTTTTGTTTCCCTGAGACCCTCAATGTTCCACGAGGCGAAGACGAGGAGAACATAGAGGTCAAGGGGAAAAAACTCACTGTTTCCCGCGCGACCAGTCATTAAGTGTTCTGTTATACCTCCCAACTCAAAAATAGAAAATAATGTGAAGAAATAGTTTGCTTGACGCCGGCTGGCTCACAAATTTGCCGCGGTTTCAAGGAGCACGACCTGTTCACCTGCGAGTCGAAAGTTCAAGTTGTTGTTTCCCTAGGGAGGTGGTGAGTTTAGTTTGCCCTACGGAGTTAGTGAGTTTTGACCCACGACACGTGACACGTTCTCCTCCAATCGCAAAACGTATTTGAGTTGGAAGGTATAACCATGGTGATTGTAATCACTATATCGAAACGGTTTTCCTTGTCATGCTGTATGAATTGAGAAAAGACCATTTTCGATATATTAAAATTCAGCTTGATATTGAGGCCTAGAGAACACAAACAAAAGAAATGAATAAACATGGTCATTCAATTTCCTTTGTTTGTGTCCTCTACGCCTTGCTGCCAACCTGAATTTTAAGATATCTAATACAATCTATTGCTTAGGTAAGAATAAGTGTTGTTTCCTCAAGAAAAGAGAGAAGGAACTGTAGACACAAAAGAACTCGGAGGAATCTGTTACCAGAGGATCAGTAAAGTTAGTCATCAAGTGTATCCGTATCCGAACCAAAACCGCATTTCCACAGCCTTCTGATTGTTTGATGATTGGTGAAAAAAACTGCGAAAAGTGTGTCAATTGAAGTCTCAGTGTCAGTTGAAGTGAGATCTTGATTACTGTGACTTTTTGCATTATATAAATTAAGTGTTATGGAACCTGTTTGGACCTGTACATAGCCTTTAACTACGGAGAGTAATTTAGAGTAATGCTAACAGTTGAATTGGGGTGCTAGAACAAACAAATGTAGAATACATATGCTTCGCCTCTGTTGTTGGCTGAGTCACATTGTCGTAACGACGGTGAACAAGGGTTTTCTTGATCAACCCCTCTTGGCAATACGCCGAGTCTAAGCGTTTATTTCACGGTCAACTTGGCGGGGGTTACTTTTCGTTTTTTACTTCAGTGTTAGAAGCTTTATTGGGAATTTAGATGAAGACTTTTGTTTGCCTTTATATTGCCTAATAAAATACTATGGGTCTCGAAGAAGAGATATATAAGTTAAGAGTTAAGGAAGCTGTTTGGACCTGTACTTAGCCTTCAATTACGGAAGGTAATTTGGAGTAATGCTAACAGTTGAATTGGGGTGGTAGAACAAACAAATGTAGAATATATATGCTTCGCCTCTGTTGTTGGCTGAGTCACACTGTCGTAACGACGATGAACGAGGGTTTTCTTGATCAACCCCTCTTGGCAATACGCCAAGTCTAAGCGTTTATTTCACTGTCGACTTAATTGGCGGGGTTTACTTTTTCCTTTTTACTTCAGTATTAGTAGTTTTATTGGGAATTTAGATGACGACTTTTGTTTGCCTTTATATTACTTAATAAAATACTATGGGTCTCGAAGAAGAGTAACGTATTTGACTGCGAGATCAAATCTCTCTGCAAGTTGGGCAGGGACACCTTGACTAGTAGCATGGGTTGATTACCACGGAAACCCCGTGAAAGTCGCTAATGAGATAACAGCACATAATCTCAGTAGAACGGTTAAACAGTTTTGAAAAGGCGGGAGTCTGGCATGTGGCAGCGTACGCCACTTGGTTTTCGGAGTTTTGGGAGAATGGGAGAATAAGAGTGGGGTGTTCCAAAAACTATTTACAACACTCATAATGATATGCAAAGTTGAATACATAACAACAATGCAGTTTTTTCGACCAGGTGAGCATTCTTCGCACTAGTTACGTAACAGCTCTGTAATAAATACCAAGACGACTTGTTCACTCCATTCACGCTCGGTTTTCCACCCGGTTTTCCAGCGGAGCAAGGATAAGGGAACGACCCACCCTCCCACCCTCATCGCGTGGGTCGTTCCACTACTCGACATCCCTTAAGCCAAGCCATTCCACCATGGCTTAGTCTGCTGGTCAATCACTATTCCCATATCTTATTTCAACTGAGTATGAATGGGAGTGTTGTGAAATAGAATACTTTTGAAAATTAACTAGCTGTTAAGTCCAATGAGCTACCTCCCACTTTTGCACGCTGACTTGGAAAGGTGGTTTACAGATGCAACCATCATTTGTAATCCTTTGTCTGTATTATCTCCATCAAAGTGTCCTAAACTAGTCACACCTGATCCTGTAATTAAACAAATTAAGGTACAATAAACAAAATTGATCAGGTTAATGTATTGCAGTGTGACCATTTGACTATTAGGTTATGAGCTCGAGCTCCAGGCTCGAGCTCTATCGCGTGATAGTTTACGAAGCCGAAGCCCGAGTCAGCTATAAATCGAGAGCGAATAATTCAACTGTCATAGTATAAATCTGCTAGTCGTTCAAGCCTTTAATCTAAATCGTCTTCACAGGCTCTACGAAAATGCAAAGAGGGAAACCAGATCGTCAGCAATCGCACAAACTCGGGTAGATGAGCTTGAAAATGTAACGTGCGCGCGTGCAGTTTTTTTATTCAGAGAATAATTCATGAATGGTTTTGGAAAGGACACCTGTTTATTTTTATCTATTTCACGTTTACTTGCAACAAAAACAAGTTTCAAAACTCAGCAGTATTCTCGTTCATAACTGGGAGGGTTTAAACATAGGGTGGGCGGGATGAGGGATGAGCTGTTTTCCGCTCTTGAATGCGGGATGGAAGGAAATTTAAAGGCAGGATGCGGGGTAACAAGGGGTTGATGGGAGGAGGAAAATTGGTTATTTTCATGGCGGGACGCGGGACGTGGTAACTTTCAAGTTTTCTTCTTTTGCCTTTTTTTGTCTACTCTTTCAGAGATTGTTTGAATTTCTAATCCTTATCAGCAAATGAATTTGATATGGTTTTCGATTTATTTTTCATTGCGTGACAGTGAAAACGATCTGTTGTAAGTACTGTACGTAGCTTTTATTGTATTGTATTAGTGTAATGTAACAGCATAAATATTGTAAAGTGTAAGCAAACATTATAAAATAAATTTAAAACTAGTAGTAATCAAAGATCATGAGTTCGTTCGGCACCCTCACTTTCATTTGTATACCTTCAGTGATTTAACTAGCTGACTTTCAACCTCTGTCTATTACTAAAATCAACATTTTTCATGAACAACCGAGGTTGTGCACAGACAGATGTAGTGTCAAAGTCCATGCCAGTGAAGAGGTCCCCTGTATAGACTATGATGGCCGATTTGTTGTTCAAAACTTTGCGTGACGGCGCCAGTTTCCGTAGACTCGCAAAAACAGTAGGCCTTCAAAATTTCATGTTTTGACGTTAACTCAGCATGAATTCAAAACGTAAACAAAAGAACAAGCTTAAACGCGTTAACTCTGGCCTGTGAGAAATTTTAAAGCTCCCATTCGATTTGCGTTCATGAAAATCTTCTCGTTTGCCCAAAGGGAAATTCGATTTGGTTTGCACAATTTCATAATTCAGGCTCTGCATCTATGCCTGTCCAAATGGGAAATGTTTGGCAACCAAACATCATCAAACATTGTTTGGTGACCAAACAAGAAGACCTGCATAAAACCAGTAGGAAGATGTGAGTTAACATGTTGGGTGCGGGGGCACAAACATCAAGTTCTATTTCAAGTTGTGGATGATAGCTATACCCCACTCCTGGGCCGGGAATCCTGTGAACAGCTGGGCTTAGTACAACGCATAAGCACTATTGGAAGCAAAGGTATCCTGGATGAATTCCCTGAAGTATTCCAAGGGCTGGGATGCCTACCCGGAAAGTATCACATCAGCATTGACCCCTCCGTCCAACCTGTCGTCCATCCACCCAGAGGAATTCCTCACTCTAAACGTGACCCATTGAAGAAAGAACTAGATCGCATGGAAAATGTTGGCATCATTGAGAAAGTGCCTTTAAAAGAGCCAGCAGATTGGGTTAGCAGTCTTGTGTGTGTTGATAAACCAGATGGGTCCGTTCGGGCTTGCCTAGATCCAAGGGATCTTAATCGTGCTATCAAGCGAGAACACTATCCACTGCCATTAGTTGAAGATATCACTTCCAGTTGCGCAGGAGCCAAACTCTTTTCAACCCTGGATGCCGAGAAGGCTTTCTACAAGATTCAGCTGGATGAGGAGAGCAGCAGACTGTTGACATTTAATACTCCGTTTGGCAGGTATCGTTACCTGAGGATGCCAATGGGCATCAAGTCTGCTCCACAAGTGTACCAACGGAGAATGGAGCAAGTGTTCGAGGGGATCCAGGGGGTCAAAGTCATTTTGGACGACATAATTACATATGGATCTAACCAGGAGGAGCATGATATCCGATTGAGGGATGTTTTGGAGCGAGCCCGAGACAACAATCTGAGATTGAAGAAATCCAAGTGCCATATCGAGAAGGAAGAGGTGAAGTTTCATGGTCGTGTTTTCACAAGGGACGGCTTAAAAACTGATCCCGAGAAAGTCAGGGCAGTAATTGACATGCCAAGGCCCACTGACAAAGCTGGTGTTCAGAGACTGTTGGGCATGGTCAACTATTTGAGCAAGTTTATTCCAAACATGTCTGACCTTACTTCACCACTGAGACAACTGCTACATCAAGATGTAGAGTGGCACTGGGAGGAACAGCATGAGACTGGTTTCAAGAAAGTTCAAGAAGCCCTTGCTCTTTCACCAGTGTTGGGGTACTATGATGCAAAGAAAGAGTTAACACTCCAAGTAGATGCCAGCTCAACAGGTTTGGGTGCAGCATTGATTCAAGAGGGGCAACCCATAGCTTATGCTTCAAAGGCACTGACGCACACCCAGCAGAATTACGCCCAAATCGAAAAGGAACTTTTGGCTGTGGTATTCGGGTGTGCAAAATTCGAGGAGTATATTGTGGGTCGTGACGTAACCATTGAAACAGATCACAAGCCTTTGGAGTCAATCATTAAAAAACCCCTTCACGCATCACCATTGCGCCTGCAAAGGATGTTGGTTCAACTCCAACGCTATCCAGAAATCAACCTGGTCTATAAGAAGGTACAAGTCTCCATTTAGCGGATGCTCTGTTTCGAGCTCATTTGGAGGAGCAGCTGACAAATGCTGAACAGTTAGATATAAACTTAGTGGAACACATGATCTCAGACATGCAGTTGGTCAGGGTTGCAGAAGAAACTAAACAAGATGAGATCCTTCCTGCCCTACAAAAGGTGATTTTGTCTGGTTGGCCCGAGACGAGAAGTCAGGTACCCGCTAAGCTACAGGAGTTTTGGAATTACAGAGATGAGTTGACTGTTGGCCATGGGTTGGTCTTGAAAGGTCAGAAGATTTTTGTACCTAAGCCTCTACGAGACAAGATGCTTGAGAGATTACACGAAGGACACCTGGACATCAACAAAACGCTAATGAAAGCACGGGATGTCCTGTTCTTGCCTGGCATGGCTGCAGAAATAACTGAGAAGGTCAAGATGTGCCCATTGTGCCTAGAGAATCGACCATGTCAGCAGTCTGAACCACTAAAGTCCCACGAGATCCTACCACTGCCTTGGGCCAAGGTTGGCACGGACCTCTTGCACAAGAATGGTCGGAACTACCTCGTAACAACTGATCATTACTCCAAGTGGCCAGACCTGACACTGCTTAACCCAATGACCAGTACTGCAGTCATCACAGCCTTAAGAGTCGATTCCTGTAAATACCGAGAATGAGTTGACAGTTGCGAAATTTTGGATTTCTTCATATTTTGGCCAAATAACCTCTATAGTGAGTTGTTTTCGAAAATACCATTCAAAGGTCCTGAAGCGCTTTAGTTTTCTCGAAATCGAGGAAAGTCCGAAAATCGCCATTTTAGCTGCCTGACGCCACCGAAAATGGCCGAAAATTGTGCATTTTCTTTTCGCTCGTACAGATCAACGCGATGATATCTATCAATATAGTTTAAGTAGCTCATAGTGCATGTCTTGCTGTTTCTAAACCATTAATTCGATTAGCAAAAGCTCGAAGTGTTATAATATTTTAGGCCAATACAAGTACCTTCATCGAAGCTCGTGAGCGAAAGGGCTAATTTTAGCTAATTTCAATACCATCAAAAGCCCACTGG